AATTTCATTTACAATTTCAAGTAGATTTTAGCTTTTAAAATAATTTCTACGAATTTCCACTGGGAGAGACCTAACAGGCAGAGAAAACTCTAGAGTGGGGTGATGACTTACTGAACACTGCCTGAAAAGTAATCACTAACTGGCAAGTTAACTAAGATCATTGTGCTGGCTGTCAGCAGGAAGAGAGCAGGAAAACCAAGGGTGTGAGGGAGAGGCAGGGAGAAGAGGCTATTTTTGTTTGTTCGGATTTCTTCTGGAAAGGAGCTGGGGACAGGTTTGACCATCCAGTCTCATTACTTCTAGTCCTTGGCCAAGTTCAGTGAAAAAGTCCCACAACTGCACTAGAGGACACAGACATTTACTGAAGTGTGAGAGCATTGGGGCCACAGCTCAGCGACTCCCCAGACTCTGGGTGGGCACTTTGGCTTTCAGAGGCTCAAAGGGGTCAGTCCTATAGGACAGGAAGGAATGAACTTGGATGATCCTACCAGCCCAAGCAGTGATATACTATTTGCTATTTTTTTTTCTTCTGTTGTGCTTTGTTTCCTCTTTCTGGTGGTTCCTCCTATTGGTTCTAATTCTTCCTTACAGCATCACTAATGTGGAAATATGTTTAATAGGAATGTATATGTATAGCCTATATCAGATTGTGAACTGTCTTGGGGAGGGAGGTGGGGAGGAAGGTGGAGAAAAATTTAAAACTCAAAAGCTTGTGGAAGTGATGGTTGATAAAGTAAAATAAATCAATTTTTAAAAAGTGAAAAAAATAGATAAATAAAAAGCCATGATCCTAAAAAATTAAAAAAAAAAAAGAATAGAAATGGAAGCCAGACACCTCAGCCATTTGGATTTGTTGGACAAGTGAAAGCAAACAGCTGAGGATCAGAACCTGAGGGGCTGCAGAGATGAGGATGAGGATGATAAGGATGATGACGGCATCCTTGACAGACACTGGGCAAGGTTCATGAGTGGTAAAGAAAATGGAATGACATCCGTGGGACAGCTCCCAAGCCTTCCACAGGCTGCAGAATGGTTGAAGGTGCTGGCACTGTCTTGTTCCCTGGTCATTGGCTCCCAGAACTCCAGGCGACAGCTGCCATATCCACAGGGGAATTCTAGGGGGCTCCTGAAGGTAGGGACAGGGGGCGTGGGTCATCACAGTGGTACCCGTGGCAGCCTGTGTGGTGGTCAAGGTGAGATTCTAAGAGCCTGTTGTGCAGCAGAGGCTGGGAGTTCGCAAAAAGGGTGGAGGAAGCAGAGTAGGGGGGTGTTGGGAAATAATGTGTGAAAGGACAGAGGTGGCCATGCTGAGGAGGGGCTACAGGGAAGCCAGGAGTCAGGCCATCTCCTAGCTCTGGGTATGGCTGAACAAATACCCCTTGGAGTTCAGAGCCATGCTCTAGCCCTGACTTTGGGGATCATTTCTCTAGAAATTCTCATTCACTTTGACAGAAATATATATTGTTACATCAAAGCTAATCAAAATACTCTAATACTTTATTTGATATCTATATGAAGACTGAGGCCACCTATCCCCCCAAAAGCCCTGGTCAGGAAAGTACCTATTCCTGCCAAACAAATGAATGGAGGAATAGGTAGCCAAAGGGTGCCGCTGGGGTGCAGATGCCATCAAGACAGATTCTCCCACTGGCATGACCCAGTAAAGCAAGACTCCTTTCAGTCATTCTCCACCAGGTCTGCACTTCTATCTTTAACCGAATTTTAGACTCTTCACAATTTATTTTCTATTTGATGGATCAATCATCTTCAAAGATAAATTTCTTTCTCATTTGTAGACATTTATAATCTCCTGAGAAGGACTTAGAAATTACACACCAGGAGAAATGAAGGTTATGCTGCTGCTGCAGTATCTAACACAGAGGTAGGAAAACCTTTCCCACGCGCACCTCATTTACACTTTGTGGGTGGCCCTAGGGATAGGAAGAGGAAGTTGATGGGCCTTTCTCCATCCCTCTCTCTTTCTCTCCTCCCCTAATCCCCCCCAATACCCCTTACCCACAGTGAAGAACTGCTGGAGGCAACCGAAACCATAGAACAAAGCTCAGAAGCAGTCAGGGCAACTTTTGGAGGATTCATGGAATATTAACGTAAGGAAGAAATGCCATGGGATGGGAGGAAGCAGAGGACTGGATGCAAACAGATCTAGAATCATTCATTTTCCCTTGGGGTCAGGATTTCCCAGTGGCCACAGAAATAGATCTGCAGACAACCAACCCCAATACTGCTCATGTCTGGGGCTTTCAGATATCACCAGAAATGGTTCTGTTCACAGGCTATAGGTTCGTGATTTTTATTAAGTCAGAAGGCTTTGTATTAAATGCTCTCTGTGTGGCCCCTCCGTTTTCTCAGCACTCTCTGACTCACTGATTATCATAATTAAAAGACACACCCCTGGGCCCATAGGCTTTCAATCTTCTTTTCCATTCTGAGGTGAGCAGGTTATCTCTTAGATGACAAAGCACCTCTTCTGTTTCAGAAGGAGGCTCAATTTTATCTTCCAGTTTATCAGTCTCCTCGGCCCCACCAAGCTTATCTATTTTTAACTTTTCCACATTGGTATTTAAAGAGGTCAAAGATAAAGGAGAAAAGATGGAGGAAAGATTCAGTGCTCCCTCCCCACAGACACTGGGTGAGCCTTTCCACTAAACATCCCAGACTGTTCTCTGTTACTCAAGGATGAGTAGATCCTGTTACTGTCATTGGACTTTTAATGTCAGTGACTCTAGCCAGTTCTAAGCCCCACTTTCATACCAACAAACCATGCACGACAGAAAATCAGGACGCGGAGAACATGACTTTAATTAAAACCAAGGTAAACTGCACAACTGAAACAGTTCCCATTATTCCTAAGATTCTTTCATGTTCCATTTCCCCTGTCTAAATGTATAAAATGAAAAACAAGTTTTATAAAATATGTCACCTTAAGCCAAAGGGCTGGAAATGTGGAAGAGGAATGTCATTAAGAAGTCTCCCACCTCGCCTGAGGCTCCATCGAACCCTAGACCCGTGTATTCATTAATCAAATGGGAGCGTGTTGATGTTCAGTCATTTCCCCGTCACGTCTGACTCTTCACGGCCCCATCTGGGGTTTTCTTGGCAAAGATAATGAAGTGGTTTGCCATTTCCTCCTCCAGCTATGAAGTGTCTGAGCCTGGATTTGAATTCAGGTCTCCCTGATTCTAGGCCCAGCATTCTACCCACTGAACCACCCAGCTGCCTAAATCCAAGTACACACAGTACACAAACTGTGTACAAATTCGAGGTGTGTTTTGGTCACCCATTAGACGCACAGAAAGATATGACCATGACAAGGCAGCCCAATCTCTCCCTCCCCTCCTCCCTTTCCTTTCCTTCCTGAAGCTAGATGAAGGAATGATGATATGGAACAAGAGGAGGACTGGCCTTGAAGAGGAAAAGAGACTGCTGACCACAGAATGGGAGAAGACAGCAAAATACCTCAGTTTCCCCAAACAGAAAAGAGCCTGCAAACTATGGGAAATGAAGCTTGACCTCGTTGCTGGCAAACGCTGGAGCATATTTGAATAGGGATGACTAGTGGCCAACGGAGAAGAGCAGAGGCTGATCACTAAGCACATGGCTTCATTAACAACAGGCGGCATCAGGCTACACATTTCCTGTCTCTGAGAGGGTGATCTGAGTAGCAGACCAGGGAAATACTGTTGGAATGGCCTATGATAAAATTTCTCAAATTTTTGTAGAAAGCATGGTAAGACGGAGGCATGATGATGCCTGAGTCCAGCGGATTCACAATTTGAGGAATGACAGGCCAGAAAGAAGCCCTCCATGCTCCTAAGGATCCAGAAGTTCCGCCCCCCTGTGCCTCTCCTAGAGTGCCCCAAGGTTCTCTGCTTGGCTCCGGGCCATTTATCACCTCCAGTCAGACATAAAAAGCAGGCTTCTCCACTTAACACAGGACACAAGGCTAGAGGGACACTTCACACACACTAGAAAAGAGTCAAAAGCTAAACAAGATCAGGACAGGATGAAGTGACCGAGTCAAAGCTAAAAGGTGGAAACTGAGCAAAGTCAAGCAGAAATGCTGGAATGCATCTAAGGCGATGAAATTTAGGTGGGACACACAGGACACCTCATACTTGAGATCGCCAAGTAAATTCACTTAATCAGTACAACAGGGAGGAGACAGGGTGACACTGCACTGTCTCTGCTAACATTCCACCTTCTCCAAGAAGCCCCTCCCAGGGCCCCATCACACAAGCACACCTTCCCTGAGATGACCTCTCATGTGCTGTATCCAAACACACACACACACACCCATCTTATCTGTTCAAAGGTATCTGTCCATCATCCCTATCACAACGTGAGCTCCATGACAGCAAGGGCTGTCCTTTTTTAAGCCTTTCTTTATATCCCCAACATTCAGTCTGTTTCTCGCACACAAGACAGTGCTCACTGACTTGTGTTCACTAAGGTGGACTATGGCCTGCAGGCTGAGCTGACTGAGCAGTAACTGAAGGGTTTGGGGGGAAGCACACAGAGAGGCCGCCTCAAGAAAACCACCCTGATTATCTGAACAATCCCAGCATGGAAGAGGCTGCCCTCAGAACGGCCAGATGCTGGCTTCCTGGGTGCATGGGGGCGGGGAGGAGTCTTCTGTGGGTCTGGGTCGGGGGGGAGGCTCTCCTAAGTCATTCCCAGTGCCTAGATTCCCTGGTTCTCCAAGATGGAGCCCAAAGGGCCATGCTCCACAATTGTGGAGGATTTCTATTTTGAGGTGACTACTTCCCCAAGCTGGTTTTTATGTTGAAGATCTGCTGCAGACAGAAGTCAGAATTCCAGAGTGTGGCTCACTAAAGAGTCCGTGCCAGTTACTCTTTCTCAGGAGGAGAGAAGAAAACGGACGAAGCATCAAACAGCGCAATCGACAAATAGATTCATCAAAGCGAGTCCTGCCTCTGAAAGAAGTCGGCGGAGCAGAAAAACGCTGACAAAGAACTCACTTTTTCTGTAGTTTTCGGTTCTTCTCAGCCTGGCCTCCCAATTTGTTCATTCCTAAGGCATCTTGAGAGGAGCTCTCCATGTCTGTCACACCAGCTACAAAGGAAAAAGACCCAAGAGTTGATCACCATAAAACAGCATGGCAATGACATCGACAAGAAGTCACATCAGTCCCATAAAGATCCGCACCAGCTCCCAGGCGCACACACCAGGCTTTGCAGCTGGTCGGAGGCAAACTGACGTCAGAGCCAGAGGAGGCAAATGGCAGACGGCGATCTAGAAACGTGGGCCCCGCAGCACTGACCAGACAACAATTGCACAAATGCCCTGTTCAGGAGCCAGGCACCTCTTTCTAGCCAGGAGGTAACCAGCAGCATCCTGGCAGCTGTTCCTGGCCTGTGCGCACTGGGGAAGGGGCAGAAGAGGAGCTTCCTTGTTCAGGTTCTATACTGGGCCCACCGAAGCTGCCAGGCCGGTGTTCTGGGGAAGAGGTGGGGGGCAAGGGAGGCAGGAGGACACCTACACTAGGGGAGCACCACCAGAGAGAGGCGCTGACTTTTAGGGTGTTGGTGATTTGCTTGATCTCTCCAAGCAATTCACTCACAACTGAGTTTTATAGACAGATGCAAACAGCCTAGTGGCTCACAAGATGCTAATGAGGCCCGGTCCCTTCTGCCCCATCTCCATTGGGCTCACGCACGCTTCTAGAACAGGTTAACCGCCTCTGGGTCATGGATCCCCTGGCCAGGCAGTCTGGCAAAGCCTAGGGACCCCTCCTTACCATGTTTTAAACTGAATAAAATCAAATACTTAGAATTACAAAGAAAATCAATTATTTGGAATAGCAATGTGGTTTTATAGACTTTAGCCAGGGAAAAGGAATAAGGAAAACGCTGCTGGCCCCATGGTACTAGGTGTCTGGCAAACACTCCCAAGGGCAGATATGACAAGGAATATGGAGCAAACACCCTGACAGCAAGGCCATGCCAGGACGCTGTTGGCTTCCAGCTAAGTGACCTCACAAAAATCCTCCACTGTTCTCTAGGGCAAGAAGCTTCCAGCTTGGAAGCTACTTTAAACGTTAGTTACGTCAAAATCAAATACTGGAGTTTGAACATCATTCTCTAGGCAGTGTGTATTTTTTTAGTAAATAAAAATCAATTACTCAGGAAAGAATTTTTCTCACCCACACACTCCTTCACAATAACTGACTAGACACAAGTAGGCTTTGACTGATTTTACTGAAGAATGAAGCTACTATGAGAGCACTCTCCTAACGATGTAAATGCAGGTAGTTTAAGCACACAGTCCACGCAGGGATGGTCTGAAAAGCTCAAAGGCTCCTAAGGCCTGCAGAAGAAACTGCACAGTTGAGAGAGACCTCAGAAACCTTAGCTAGTGAGATTAACTTTGTGTTTTCACAACATTCCAACACATATTAAAAGGATTTCTAGTTCTAAATGAAAGCATGGCAAGGTGCATTTAGAAATGGTTAAATAACCAGACCCAAGACTAGTAATCAATGAGGGGATGTCCCTCTGGAAAGTCACTACAGTAGAGGGTAGCAGGGATCTGTCTGGGCTTAGCAAATACGCAGATGAGCCAAATCTTGCAGAAATATCTAACAGGTTAGCCGGAGTCAGGATGCAAAGAAGATCTTAGTAGGCTTGGAATGGGCAAAATCCAAGAAAAATGGATTCCAAAAGCCAACTTCCACCGTACAGTACAAGGGAGGTGTGGCCAGATAGCAGCCCATCTGAAAAGGATCTGGGGGTTCCAATGGGCTGAAAGCTCAATGTGTGGGATGAATGTCACGTGGCACAGAGGCACCCAGGGCAGGGGGCTGCCCAGCGGTTCTCTGCTCAAGTCAGACCCAGGCATGGCATCTGAGGAAGGGCACCGAATGTCCAGAGAAGGAGACCACCCTACTTGCTGCTATCACTGAAAGGAATGGGGAAGGGCAGGGAGCCTGGAGAAAGCCTGGAAGGCTTAGGATGGACTTGACAGCTGATTTCCAACATTCAAAGTGAATGATCTGAACTCTCGTGCAAGAGCAAGCGATCAGATGCCTTCTGCCAGACTTGGGAGAGCGTGCAGGCCTGGGGGCGCTGGATGGAAACCATCAGAAGGCAGGAGGTGGCTTGAGAAGCCCTTTCAAAGCGAGTGGGGTCGAGGGACCTCTTCCCCACTAAAGGCTCCGCAGTCACACCCTGGGACAGCTCTCGAGGGGGGGGGGCTTTTATGCAAGAACAGCAGAACTTCTGGGAGTCCTTCCAACTCCAGACTCACTGAGCTTCTGACTATCCAGAGGTGAGTCAGACCACACCCAGAGCTGGGTCATTCTTACTAAGTTACTGAGCAATTGATGTTAAAAATTAAGTTCAAAATAAATGGTGTGCTTAAATTACTTTCAAAAATCCAAGCACTCTCCAGAATGGTTGGCTCAGTGCACAGCTCCACCAACAATGCATCAGTGTTCTAATTTCCCCACATCTTCTCCAACACTTATCATTTTCCTGTTTTGTCATGTTGGCCAATCTGACAGGTGCGATGTGGTACCTCAGAGTCGTTTTGATTTGCATTTCTCTAATCAACAGTGATTTAGAGCATTTTTTCATATGACTATAGATGGTTTTAATTTCTTCATCTGAGAACTGTCTGTTCATATCCTTTGACCATTTATCAATGGCTTGTATTCTTATACATTTGACTTAGTTCTCTATATATTTCATGGTTGTCTCTGATAAGGCGGGAGGGGGAAAAAATGTAAAACTCAAAAGCTTATGGAAGTGATTGCTGATAAATCAAAATAAATTAATAAAATCAAATGAAATAAATAAATTTCTTTTTTAAATCCCAGCACTCTCACTTGAAGAAATTAAAATTAACTAAGGCAAACCGCTTTCCCTCCCCACCGAAAAGGGTCCCGTCCGCTACTGGAAAATAACCGACCTTGCCCCAGGGCCTCTTTGCCAGTGTGTCCAGGCCGGCCCTTTTCTTTCTTCCCAAACAAGCGACCGATGGAAGACTTGATTCCCTTCTTTTTGGGTGCTTTATGAAGGGAGTCTTGGCTGCTATTACTGCTGCTAGGGTTGCTGACCTGACCATCTTGTGAACCTGTGGAACTTGAAATAAACACTATTTTTAGTCCTTAAAACATGTTATCATGCAACTGAAAGATTAAATATGTAACCCTTATTCTTCACATTTTTAAACAAAAATGCCAGCCCCATTACATAAAACAAATGTGGTATTTATTTCAAACGCCAACAAGCAAAACCTAGGAAATGCAAAATGTGAGCAGTGAAAGGATTTCCAAAACTTTCAAATGCACTTCCAGCGTGATTAAGCTCTCTCTTTGAAAAGGTAGATTTAATTTGAAGCTGACTCACCTGCAAAGAGCATTAAGCACACTGTAACAGCTGTGATAAGAATGACCCCACATCAGCAAGGGCTACAAAGATGTGCTGTTGTAGCTTTCAAAGCATTTCTCCATTGATTGGATAGCCCTGTACTGATCAAAGGTCAGGCAACAATGCCAGACAAGCACTGGCACTCACATATTGCTCAAAGGTTTACAAAAAGCTTTACATACATGACCTCACTAGATCCTCAAAACAATCTTGGGAAGTATTTGTTTGTTATTATCACCATCTTGCAGCTGAAAAAACTGAGGCAGAGGTTAAGTGACTTGCCCAGAGTCACACAGTGTCAGGCCAGATCTGAACTCAGGTCTTTGTGCACCACACAACCGTCTTTTAAAAAGGGGTCTGCAAAACCCACAGGATTTGAAGGTAAGAAGAATTTACAGTTATTTTTGGAATGAGAAGACTGGTCATTAATTACTGCCTCCAGAACAAAACTAATGGGTTCAGAACTCTGATTTCATGTCAACAAAAATTTTTCAAAAACAAAACAAAACAAACGTGTTCTAAAACTCTTCTCTGACTTGATACCTTTGAAAGTTTGAGATGTATCTAATAATGTGCAAACAGCATTACTGACCAGCTCCTAAACAAAACCTTTCAAAAACTAAACATCCGCTTCAACAAGCCAAACCGAGTGACAGTGGCACAAGGCGGGCAGCTGGCCAGAATCCAAGCTGGCTTCCCCTAAGTTGCCTTTTCCTCACGTCTAGGGGCAGGGGCAGCCCACTCTGATAAGACATGAGGCCATTATGAACAACAGCCTGATTTCTTCCTAGTTAACCTTCTAAGGAGGGTGTAAGACAAGCATTCTTTTCAGCTGTGTCACACATAATAAAAAAAGGCAAACAGATTTAATGTCGTAAAATCCTGAGTCAGCGGAGAGGTAATCTGGGCAGGTGGGGGGCTTTGTGCCAGCCAGCTGAGGCATGGAGGCACACACACGCTGACCACAGTCCCCCAGGAAGAGCCAGGCCACTTACTTCCTAATGTCCCTGATGTCTTCATGGCTCACGGTGTGCAGAGCCCCTTTGTGGACTCTGTCTAAACGAAGGGACCTTGGGGACGAAGGGGGGGGATATTTCACATTTTATGGTTGTCTTGTCATCTCGTACCTCTTCCCTCGAAGCTGGCAACTAGGAGAGATTAAAAAAAACTATCAAAGAGCTATTGTGAGAGGTTATTTATGTATCTTCATTTCAGAATCTAAAACCTGAACCCCTCCCCCCATTATGCTATTTGCTCTCTGCAGAGAAAAAACCCTGGCTACAGCTAATTCCAATTCAGTGAAAACAGCTGTGGAAGGAGAAGCAGCGGAACCAAGGTGAAAAACCCCTGGATGGGGAGTCACTGCCCCCTGCAAGCTCTGAGACAACCTCGGACAGGGCCTCAGAGACATCACCTTGTAGAATAATGATAAGCAGGGATATTCATTCAGGGTTGTAATTTTCAGGCTTCTCCTATGGTCCTAGGTATGACTCTCTGCATCATACAGATGAGGAAGCTGTTCCTTGAGTAAGGGCCATGCCACGGGGGCATCACAAGCTGGGACTTCTATCCCTTCTGCATTGCTGTGTCCCTGCAAGCTCTCGGATTTTATGATCCATAGGAAAGGGTCATGAATGGCTTCCTGAGATTTAAATGATGCTTAGACATAAGCCACAGCCTTTTCTACATGCCATAACTCAAAGATTAGAAGGAACAGACAAGAAGTTCACGTACTTTGCCATAGCTAGTAATTTTTCAAATGAGTTGGGAAAGGGGTGGGATGGGGGGGGGATAAATTAGCAGTTTTTCTAAGAAAATGTGATATTATGAAATAACTTCAATCAACAATTCAGTTGGATTTTGTCTTTAGCAAACCAATGGACTCTATTAAGCAGATAATACTAAAATAAATGTTTGAAATGCTTTTAAAAATAATTTTATTCAACCTGGCACAGACTTGGCACCAACCAGTGTTGCCATTAAATTGGCAGTGCTTCCTGACTGAGGGGGCAGGGGGGAATAAACTCCTTCAGGCTGCTACGATCCATTAAGCTGTATGAACGCTCTTGGTTTACGCGTGCCCAAGTAAACATGAACACAGTTCTAGACGAAGACCAGGTTAGACTGCTACCAATGAGCAGCCATAGAAAACGCCCACATTAAACTGATTTTCTAACGTGCCCAGCACATAGTAGGCACTTAGGGGCCTTTTCAATTATCAGCGTCACCACTGAAAACTGACCAACAGCACAATGACTGAGTCTAATTTACTGGGGCTTAGCACAAGAAGGGTGAAGCTCTTTGAAGCTACAACTAAAAGAGTCCTAGACACGAAAGGCTCTGGGGGTAATCATTAATTCTGTTCTGATTTCTTTATTAATTACTCATATCATCTCAAGAGGGTGAAACCAACCAATGAATTTTAATAGACATAAATGCAAAAATCTTTCACTTAAAAAACGATTCTAGGGATAGTAGTGAAAAGCACCCAATGTACTACGGCTTCCCATCAATCTATCATTCGAAGTGCCTGGGAAGGGAAATGAGTCAGCTTGTGGTACCGCAATTAAAGTCATCTTAGGCTGCCTCCATTCACACCTGGGGTGCTACTGTGCAGGAGGGACACAACCAAGTTATGTACCGTGAGTGGCTCCTGAAATGGGGGACCATGAAATTTTCCCTGGAGAAGAGGGAGCTACATGAGCTGAGAGGACAGGGATAGTAGCCAATAAGCAGAAAGAACCAAATGTCCAACTTTGAGAGTTGGTCCCAGCAAAGAAGGGCCAGAACAGGGCCAGTGAGCAGAAGTCCCAGGGAGACAGCTCAGACCCAGCAAGAGTTACCCAAATGGAACAATTAGAACTGCTCCAAAATGTCCAGGGCTCCTGCTCCTCACAGCAGGAAGCCGCCCACTGTCACTAGGACCAAGGAGAGGCTGGACAAACCACCCCTCTGGAATGCTTTACAAAAGAATTTCTCAACCTGGACTCTGTGAATAGATTTCTGGAGGTCCATGAATGTGTGCATCCAAACACGTGCACGCGCACACACACACCACACACATACAACACCATTAACTATATTACCATTGTTATTGGTAACAGATACCAACATTAGGTACCATTCAAGTGTGTGTATGTGTGTACATATATGTGTATATAACTACACACATCCATTTCCCCTAAATGAAATCTAGCATGTGTTTCATTATTTTAAAATGTTATTCTGAGAAATCCAGAGGCTAAACCAGCCTACCGAAGGGGTCCAAGGCCCAAAAAAGATCCCCTGTTATAAAGGGAATCACAGAACTGGTGGGCTGTTGGATTAAATGACTCTTAAAATTATACGGCTTAATTAAGTCAACAACTAAGACTTCCAGTTAATATTGTATAAAAGACAGCAGCCTACTTTAAGCAAATCTCTAGAGCACCCAAGGGGAGAGGGGATGGAGGAAGGAGAGGGGAGATTATTCTGCACTGTCCGATCTCCAGAGGAAAAGAAGCTAAGGGTTATTTCTGACACCTTAAAGTTATCCCAGTGGTGCAAGACTCAATATCATTGTGGAGACCATTTGTTCTACCCAGAGCTCAACTCTGAAGAACAATGGGGTACTGTGTGACACCAGAGGTTTTGCAAAAGTTTACAGAAAAGCACAAAGTCAGATGAAGTTGCTAAATCATTTACCTTTCTACGATGTTTCCTTAAATCACTAGGCTGAAAGATGCATGCAAAGAAAAGAAATTCAGAGAGACCAGTTTTATTGTAAACTCTACAATTGAAAATAAAAACATCAAGCAAGTGAACTCATTAAGGAAGAATGGGGAAAGGAGGCAGAGGAAGAAGAAAAAGCCGTTTGTCAAGGAGCAAATCTTCTCAGGTAATGACTTATCTCACTCCTAGATGTTAGCAATGACCAAAGCTCAGCACAGCACAGAAATGTTCTGAAACAACCTCCAATTCCATTCCGATTACAAGTCTGAACACTGGTCAGTGTTCCATTTACTTTTATTAATGGAATCAAATTTATGGAATCAAAAAGATTCCAGTAACACAAAGGAATTCTCTTGCTGTAATGGAACCCAGGGCCCAGAAAGTCTCTTGCTTTAACACAACCCACCTACTTCCCTGCAAAAACTCATTCCAATACCAAATTATCATCCTCTATTAACACTGGGCAGCCAAAAGCTTCCTCGAAGGGTGGAACACTTTTAGCTGATCACCCAGTGGTTGTTAATACATCATAACTGTACAATCAAGTCTACTTTCAGATTTCAGCAGAAGGCAATTTAACAGATTTGCTGAAAGAAAAGTGTCTCTGTGGGTCCAAAACAGCAAGACCTGCAAAAGAAGCTGGTGCATGGATCCCTTTTTACCTGCTGCATTTCATAAAACTGTACAGGGAAGAAAATGAGGAAGGAAGATACTTCAGTCATGTTATATAAGACAGAATGAGAATGTAACAAGAAATAAATCTGAATATTCACCATTGTTGAAGCTGCCCAAAACAATGAAAAGAAAAACTGACAGGGGAAAAAACACTCACTCACATATTCAACGTCTAATACAGACACACAATTTCACCCCCAAAATATCTATTTTGCTTTACCTGAGAGTGCTGTGAAGCCTCATTATAGGATGGGGTGGAACTGGGAGGGGAGGTAGATGAATAAGCTACAGACTGATGGGGAACTGAGGTCTGGATTAAAAATGAATCTGGAGATGGCTAAAATAATAAAACAAAAAGGATAATACACAAAATCAAAACCAATCATTGCAGTTAAGTACAGAGTCTGTTAGCCAGCACACTGAGTTTCACCCAATTTGACTGTACAGATGTTCTGGCTGGCATCAGTAATGAGCCAGAGCCCCCAAAGAGGGCACAGCAACAACCTTGCGCATCCACCAGGAATGGGGATGGCAAAGGCAGGGCAGATTCAGTCACCAAAGGGCACCACTGACTGCCCTGGCCCTGACTGATGTCAACAGAGCAAGGCACACCCACTTCGGTAACATAGAGAAAACGTTATGCTGGCTAACAACACGTGGAAAAATCAAGATGAACTAACTAGTAATAAAAACCGTTAGAAATCAAAATAATAGAATGAAAGGAAGGACAGAAGATGGTGACAGGGGGCAACATGCAGGGGGCAAACAGGAGTGGTTACCCCGTATTCAACAGTAAAACAAGAACCCTGACGAGACATTTGGTGGCATCTGTCGCCCGCTTTAGGAAGCCAGCATCTTAGCACTGTGGAGATCAGAGCAGCACTAGGCACACATCTAAAAGCTGGGGGGTTAACCCTTCCCTCATCATGTTTTCTCCAAGGCAAAGAACAAGAGGCAGGCAGCATGTCAGAGTGGCTAGACAGCACCTGGGAGGCAGGAAGGCCTGGATTCGAGGTGCCCCTCAGACGCCTGCTGCTGTCCAGAACCTTCCATGGGCCCTGAGCAGTGCCCAGCAGAACGTGGCCCTCCCTCTGCCTGGGGGCTCAGAGCTCCTGACACCAGAGCAGGCACGGCTCCCCGGGAATCAGCAAGCACTGCTGCTGCTTTCTAAAAACATCATGGCACATACATGAGGGTCAGCAGTCTACACATGGAATTCAGTGAGTGTCAAAGAGGAGGGTTAGCCTTTGGAGAAGCCCTTGAAATCCTGCCTCGTCCAGGAAATCCCTCTCAGAAGAACTCTCTCCCGTTTCTCTAATCTACCTCTTGACCACACTGCAAAACTGGCTGGGACACAATGCAAATCCTGGCTTGGTGCATTTACGATATTCGTGCTTTCTCTAGCAGCGCTGCCATGAAACAGGCTGTGCCCCCTCCGATCTTGCACAGCAAAGAAAAAGAGCATTGCATAAGATCCTTCAGCAGTTTGCAGACTGACTAAACCAAATACAAAATCAGTTTCAGCTCACCCAGCTTTTTGGTTTGCTTGCTAGCAAAGACAATTCTACACAAGCAACGAGGATGTGAGGGGACAGGGAGCCCCTAGAAGCACCCCACTTCTTCAGAGACCAGACAGAAATGTATGCAGAATAGGGAGAGGAAAGGGCGAAGACTTACCAGAGTCATGATCCCCAGCCTGTCCACCTCCCGGGCAGGGCTGTGAGGGAGTCGCCGAGGGGTGGAGCGGCCACTCCCCGGAGGAGAGGACCCCGCGAGGCAGGAGCCTGGATGTGGGGGAAGGGAGCTCAGGGACCGGAACCGCCCGAGGTTGTCCAGACTCCCACTACCCACACGGCTCTCAATTTCCTCTGCCCGCTGCTCTGTGTTTTCTTTCTCTTCTTGAATCAGTCTACAACAAAAGGGCTCATTAGTACTTTGGTGCTTAACGGGGCCTGATCTGCAGAGCAAGCACCCTTATCCTCAGGCCGTCCATCCAGAAGGCACATGTACTGCCCCGGTGTGTTCTGCTAGAACAGAGGGTGGGCCCTGTTCACTGTCTTGGGATCAGTCTCAGAGCCCACCACAGAGCTTGGCACATGGCACGCCCTCACTAAAGGTTACCCCTGCTGCCCCAGATTCCTCAGGCAGGAGAGCCCTGCTCATTTGGACTATGGGTACTGCTTTATGGAGTGGACAGCAACAGTGTTTTAGTAGGTCTGGACGAGAAATCCAAAGGAATTGGTATGAAATCCACACGGCCAATGTTATGCTTCCTTCCCAGAAACAATGAGACCCAGACCAGGGTCAGTCTCTGACCCAGTCACCAAGAGGTGGTTCTATAATAAGCCTCTTACATGCAAACACCTTGGGTTTCGTCCTGCACAGTCACTGGGAGGCCCCCACACAACAAGGAAAGCACAGCGAATGGAACCCTGAGGCAGTTTGGGGCTCAGTCTCCAAAGGCTATAGGGATTTTGCTCAATTCTCAGTATAACAAATGAGTGAGTGAGGACAATGAGGCTTCTTGTGATCCTTCCACCACTGGTCCCACCCCACCAGAGCCCTCAGCTCATAGCTCTCTGGTACAGGCCTCCTCCCTTTGCTCCTATCATTCCAAGGCCTCCCCATCAAGCTGGGTACAACCTCTACATGAAGCCTGGCCTGGGAGTAGGTGTGCTCCCTTTTCTGAGCTCTCATGTACATGCCGTCAGGCCCACCCAGGCTGGCCACAGGTGTGATCTCATAACTCCTGGGGCCTCTGTAATCCAGGAAGGCTGAAAGCCCCCCTGAAGACAGTGACAATGACTCAAACCTTGTTTAAAGCTCCCCAATACTCAGTCCTACTGGCCAGGAACAATGCAGGAAGGCAATAATTAGTTTATTTGGCTGGGCCCTATCATTTCACTGGTCTAAGGAAACCTCCTCTCCCCAATTTCTATTCTCAGACTATCACCCAGAGCCAGAAGAGGGGCAATTTGCCTCTGGGTCACACAGTCATGTAGAAGGGAGCAGTGGTCAGACCTGAACTGCAAGGCTGGCTTCTCCATTTCATTAGACTTTATAAAATAAGAGAAAACTCCAAGAGTCCCCTTAGGCTATCTCAAAGACATGGGCAATCAAAGAGGGGCTCAGACTTAAGATCTGCTTAACGTCAACAGAAATACACCCCATCCTCCCCCCCGTATTCTGAAAAAGACACAAATCAAAATACACCTGATCTCTTTGTTGATGGCATCCAGCTGCTCCTGAAGCATCATGGCTAACGTCTGGGCATCGGCCTGCCCGCTGGGCGACAAGAGATCCACGGAGCTGAAAATAGTATCTCTGTCATCCTCACCGTCAGACACATCGACGTCGCTCTCAAACGCTTGCGCTACATTCGCTAAGACACTCGCCTGCTGGGCCCGCTCCCAATCCTGTTCATTCAGAGTCTGTACCTAGGAACGAAAGGACCAGATTCTAGTGACCTGTGTGTGAAATGACACAGAGAGATCCAATCAGCTTTGCCTAAACTCATGTACCTATATGTGGTCACATACTTCATGAGTAAATGAACTTGTTTTAAAAGGCAAACAGGAATACTTTGGGGGGAACATGTCACACTTACACGCTGCAGCCATCCATCAGTCAGCAGTGTTTAAGGAACAGTGAAAGTAAAACCAAGGATTTAGTTGTCTTCTACATACCCTGAATGTAGCTCCTGAGCCTCTTTCTACCATAACCTGGTGAAGTGATAACAGTCAAATGCAAACACAAAGAGCTAGTTCTAAAGCTGCTGGGCTAAGAAGGAACGGAGAACCCAGAGGACTCGAATCTAGGCTAGCTGGAGCTACTGACACGTCAACACTTTGATGAGCATGATGAAGAAATCTGTAACTTCCCCTCCCAATGCTCTTCCCTCTGCTTTCTTTCTAGCCTCAGAACTGGAAGGGGTGAAGGCTGAGGCAGGGACCTGGATGTGGAGGGAAAGGAGCAAGGCCTCTGGATAACCCACTATTCAATCAAGGCAACAGAACTAAACACCAAAAGAAGAGAGCAACGCTGGGCCCTCCACCCAACACCTACTACTTCCTTTGGTCGGGGGGGGCACAAAGGAAAGTTTATCAGCAGCTTACTATGACTCCCTTAAAATTATGGAACATATTTTAAATACCAGACATTCTGAAAGTATACAAAAAGGATATGCCTCTTCAAAGGCATAGAAAGAATAAGGCTGACTACAGGCATGTAACAAAGTTCACTTCTGACATAAATTATTTTAAAAGTGAAAGCAGTATATGACAGGGTCATAGGATAACCTCGACTACTACTTTAACCTTTTCTTAAATCAAGAGTAGGTTACAATTTATAACAAACGATGAGCTTTCTCAACGACGCCTCCCAAACTGCCCATGCTCAGCTTCTCTCAACCTCACACCAGTAGACACTGCTTGGTTACCTTGGAAGGCTCGTCCCGGAGAGCCGCCAGACGGCCCTTCTGGGCCCGCCGCAATACTGATGTGGTGCTATAAGGATCTGTGGGACTCTCAGCCACGGGATACCGGAAATCGGGTACACTGCCCAGGTGCGGACGGCTGCAACAAAGGGAAAGAGAGCCCATGCTCATAGAAAGCCAAGCTCCTGCCCATCTAAGTCTTTACAAATCAGCAACACGCTTGAAAACAAAAGATTCTTGGGTAACAATTCAGCAGCCATCCACATACGCACCCGTGATGCAGCGAGCTGCCACCACGCATCCTCATCTGGTCAATTTCAGCCCTCAGGGCTTCCATGTTGAGCACCAGCTGGTCCTGGGGAAAGGGGCAAGGGAAACAGGTTCCTGAGCCAAAGCAGTACTTTTCTATAAATCACATGAATTAAATCTAGATAAATTCTGCAGTCAGAACTATACCCACAATTCCACAGGGGTTTGGCACCTACGCTCCTAGCATAAGTTCCTTTGGGTCACTGGGAATGACCATGGAACAGCGGCTATCTCACCTCCACCTCCCAGTCTGTGACCAAGGCCTCCCTAACCAAGAGGGATCTACACCTCTTCTGTTTTTGATCTACTACATTTCACTAAAACGAAACTGAGACTTAATTATAAAACACGAAAACCTGTCCCCTGGTGGTTATCAGGTAAAAGGGGTCAGGGTAATATATTCAGACTAGTCTTCCCAGAAAGAATCCCCTAAAACAAACAGCACTAACTTCCACAATTCTCTAGAGTAAAGATGTATCTGAGATACCAAGTTGCCCCAAAGGGCTTTATACACTCAAGGGAAAAAAAAAATCACACAAATCCAAAGTGTTTGGAAGGTAAAATAAAAATTCATAGTATGAAACATATTCAAAAGCCTCAGCCCAAATTTTCTATCAACTCTATTTTTAAAACAAATACCAATTATCACTCCTTCCCAAATATGTACTCAGGTCAAACCCACTGATACCAAAAACAGCTACCAAATAATAAGTAGTAAAAAAAAAAAAAACCCAAAACCGAAGCCTTTCAATTCAGCCTCCTGCCTACCCAGAGGCTCCCTGCTCAAAGAAACGCCACGGAAATCATTCAAGTCTTCATAAATACCTTGTCGTGTTGTGTTTCTTCTACTTGCTTTTTGGCATTTTCAACCTCTCGAAGCAGAGAATTCTAGAAGAGAGAGATTCACACAGCTAAGAGTCCCTTCTGACACCTCCACAGCTGGGTTTACACTGTCTGCAAACATATGGACAGAGGCTGGCTGGCAGGGGCCAGGAGGGGAGCAGTGAGGTCAGGTACACTGGGGGTAACCATAGAGCGGCTTGGCTTACCCCTCATCAACAGACATTTCTGGTTTTGTTTTGTAGCTCACTGGGGGCTTAGTTAAGGTGACACACTTTTATCTGGACTGGCGGCTAGCCTTCCAGAGAACGTAAATGTCTTCAAAGCGGCAAGCAGGTCTTAACTCAAGTTTGTATCTCCCCCAAGGCCGAGACCACTGATTTTCACAGTAGGTAAATTAGTAAATGTTTGGTCTACTTTTTGATCATCTGTTAATTCAATAGCCATTTTGTATTAATAACATTAAATTTCAAATTGATAAAGAAATTCTGATATTATAAAAAGCAGTATTTCAAATCCAAACATGCTACCTCTAGCAACACCATAAGCTGGGGTGCCCATTTCACGAAGTCCCTTAAAAAAGTCATTTAAAAGACACTGGTCCGTGGCAGCAGGGCGTTTCCTTTAAGAGTCGGAACACTTAGAATTTAGAATGAATGAACTCTAACTGTCGCCACCCAACCTCCACGCCAAAGCACTGCGGCCCAGTTCTCAGAATGACGGCCGAGCCCAGCCTGCCCTCCTTCGCAGAGCACCGGACTCCAAGCCATGGAGGGAGCGCTTCCTCACACTCTTTACTGTAGGTGACAGGAAACGTCCAGGCCTTATGGGGCAGACAGACTTATGCCACGGGCCATGGCCAGTCAGAAGCAGAGCTCAGAGAACTCCCTATTTGCTCCAAAAACAGTTTTTCAAAAAGCCCCGGGAGATGGAAAGGTTCCTTAAAGTCACCTCCTTCACCACCTTCATTTGGTAAATGAAATCAAGGCTGGCAGAACTGGGGAGAAGTGATGGGAAAAATGTGTGGCCAAACCACAACCTGAATCCCCATCTCTTTAAATTCAGTCCCGGGCTTTTCCTACAATTCCAGCATCTGGAAAACTGCCCGTGTCACCGTGGGCAAAACCTGCAACTCCACGTCTTACAGAAGCCCAATCAGCCACATGGCTAATGAATGAGACAGGGGCCCCACCTCAGTTTCCCCAGGCATAATCCTACACAATCTAATGCTTGCCACACACATACAGAATACCGCCTCCATATGGGATAGCAAGTGCTTCCCCATGCCTGACCAGGGGCGAGCCTTCTCATCCCCTAAACAGCTCCTGACTCCCATTACATAGACAAGTCTAGGTAAAAGCCTAGTCCCAATTTACTGGGTTAAATCTAGGTAGCAAACAGAGCAAACCTTTGCTGCTGCTGATACACAGGGCCTCCACCTGAACAAAGTCTCACCTATAACAGTCTTCCAAATCAGGCTCAAGGGAAATCAACAAATGGGGTGGAGACACGTAGAATGCTTTGAAAACTATGAAGTTCCAAAAAACTATAGAGTCTGTGAGCAGCGCAAGAGAGATCTCAGCAAAAAGAAGCTGGATTAGAAATAATTAACAAGCTTTCCAAAATAAGGAATGAGCTTATGGGAGAACTATATGGTGGAAAGTACTTAACTACAATAACAGTGAAAGAGTTCATATGTGATTTTTTCCATCTGAAACCCAAGGTCTACTTTTCTAACAGAGCACTTCACCCAAATAATTTACTTTGTTTCTAACACAGAACGGCGACTCTCCCAACGTGGCCCCAGCGCCTTCAACGCCCCATACCTTATCCTCCAAAGCCGCCATGCGCTCCTTCAGGTGAAGCTGGAGCCTCTCATTGGACTCGGAGAGGAGCTTGTCCACGGTGTCCGACAGACGCTTATTGTGTTCTTCGTTCATCTTCTCTCTCTGCCTCGCCTGGAAGAGCAGCAAGAGAGGAGAAAATGAACACAGTCCCTTTTCCTTCTTCCTCACTTTCTCTCTTGTGTCATGAGAGTTTTCTCGTGAGTACAGAGTGATAACTTCTAACAACCAAAGGAAGAAGTTCCCAAGGAGAAGATGAAAGATCCCTTGACCCAGACTTTGGCTGAGTGAAACAAAAGAAAGAAAAGTCTCTAGGAAGGAATAGGAGCAGCAGAGTCTATGTCATGAAGCAGAGATCTACTGAGATTCACGTGCAAAAAAGGAGACAACCAGAAACCTAATTTGACGCAGAGAAAACCTCTGACTCCAAAGTTTAAAAACAGCGATGTCTTAATTCAATTTAAGAGGTCAAGGGCTGAGAACTAATTCAGCTGACAAGAGAACTGTTTTACAGCTCAATGGGTGCTCTGATTAATCTCACTGTTTCTAATTTGCTCTCAGTCACAATGAACTCCCTCGAATTGGAGCATCCTAGACACAGCCACCAGTGAGGCCCCGTCCAACAGACGAGGCAGCCCTGGCACATCCACGTGTGGAGAACAGCTTGGGCCAGGTCACCCAGCTACTCCAAGGAATGTATCATCTCGGTTTAGGAATCCTCTCCACTAAGGTCCATCTCAGCCAGTCCTGTGCAGCTCCCACACAAGAATCACCCAAGGGCATCCACTTGGGGTACAGGGGCCTTCCCTGCTTCTTCCCAATGGCACGAGAGCATCACTGGAGCACTCCCGCCATCCACCTGTGTCCATGTATGACCAGCCCCCAGCTCTTTCTGTCACGATTTCTTGATAACACTGCTGACTGGGATGCCTCTTGGGAGTCTCTTAGGTTGCATGGTCTGGACTGCTCCGAGCCACCGCTGCATTCCTCTCAAGGTAAAGCACTTTATTCTTCACCAGTGATGGAAAAACAACCAGACGTTTGATTCTCCTCTTTAAGAAACTATAGCTAGTAAAGGAACTTAATTTTTTTTGAAACCCTAAAGCTCAGTTACTCTCACTGACATGGCACTTGAAGGTCTTGCAAAGCATTTCCTTCACAGCCCCCAAGGGAAGGAGATTCAGATCCCAGATTTCAAGCAGGAAGGGTACTGAAAGGCCATCGGATCCAATTCCCATTTTCCAAGTGGAGAAACTGATTACAGAAATAGTAAGTTCTGGAAGTGGGGTAGATTGACTAAGTTCCACATGCCACTGCTCAGTATTAAAAATCAGAAGGAAACACGAGGCCATGTGCAGTGTCTATTCTTTGAAAAGGTAAAAGAGGCAGCTGAGTGAACCAGCTATGGAAGAGTAATGAAGTGGGCTGCCACGATCAGAAAGAGGGACTCTGTCTAAATCATGGGGTTTTAAAACAGTTCATGGACCCCTGGGGGTCCCTGAGACCCTCTCAGGGAGTCCTCAAAGTCAAAACTATTTTCATAATAACATTAAGGTGTTATTTGCCTTTTTAACTCTCATTCTCTCTCTCATGAGTGTACAATGGAGTTTTCCAGATTCTACATCACCTGTGAATTAAAAATTTAGTGGCAAAAGTGAAGACTGAGTTAATATCACTACCGCAGAATTAAACGATTGTCTTTGGAATGGGTGACTCTCCAAACATGGCTAGACTTGCTCTTTTGCTTGTACTCATCCAATATAAATATCGACTAATCTAAGTGAATGAATGCTTAGCAACAAACAAGCAGTGATGAAATATTCCAGTGCTTAAATCTCCTGGTTTATTCTGGAACAACTGAGTTGATATTTGTAGTAACAGGGCTGAGTAAAACAGCAAGCAAACAAGACAAACCATCCTGGTCATAGCAGTCACAGCAATGAGAATGGCCACGTTGACTAAGGACATGCTCGGGGAGGCAACTCAAAGTGACCCTTCAGGATGCACTTTCTGAGTATTCTGGGATGGAACGGGAAAGCACACCAACCACTTACTGCTGCATACCCACCTCCAACCTTTATGCTGAAGAGAAGCTTGGATGCTCGAAAATGAACAAAGTCAGTCTGTCATTTCAAGGAAAACAACTGACAGTATCTGTTACCAAGTATAAAATCAGCTTTCAAGCAAAAATCAGAATTTTGGAATACTTGTAGTCACAACCATGAGCTTGACAGCTTCTCCCAACTCCAAGCCAGTCAGTTCTGCTGAGATCCACGGTGACAGGATATTCACAAACGTGACTCTCAGATTTTACACAATGCAGCATGTCAGAATTCGCAGGGCAGCCACAGCTGATCCTCACTGGATCTGCCCATGGAAATCACAGTCTTAGAGACAGAGCCCTCCTACTGGCAGGGGTACTCAGCCACACTCCATCTCAACACTTCTAACCAGGAAAGCGCCAACATGAAATACAATCAACTGGTTTTACAGGATTCAATTTGCTATGAAGTTTTTCCTCAAACTGAGACAAAAACAGCCTTCCTCACCAGACGTGGAATCAAATACTCTAGGATCAAATCTCAGTTCTGCCATATAATAAATGCATGACATGGGGCAAAAGTCACTGAATACGTCTGAGCCTGTTTCCTCATCTGAAAAACAGGACTAATAATACTCGTACTCCTGATTCCAGAGGGTGCGCTAATGATTCTCATGCCACTTACCCAGTCCTAACCTCTGTCCCGATCTCTCTCACATCTCCAGCATCTTCCAGAACATCTCAAGTGGACAATCCCAGACTTATCACAAACTCACTACGTCTAAAACTAAATTCATTACCTGTCACCCCAAGCTCCCTTGCTCCCAAACCTTCTACTGCTATCAAGGACACCACCATCCTCCCACTACCCTAAGGTCATCTTCGCCCCCTCCCTGGACCTCACTCCCCATGTCTGATTCGTTGCCAACGCCTATCAATCTGACTTCGATACCATCTCTTGCACACGCAGCCTTCCCTCTGCAGACGCTGTCACCACCCTGAGGCAGGCCTTTATCATCTTACACCCAGAATACTGAAAGAGCCTGCCAGTTGGTCTGCTGAACACAAGTCTCTCCCCATTTTGATCCATCCTACACTCAGCAGGCAAAGTGATTTTTTGTAAAGTGCAGGTCTCTGCAGTGGACAGAGCAATTGGCCCCGGGGTCAGGAGGACCTGAGTTCAAATTCAGTCTCAGACACTAACTAGCTGTGTGACCCTGGGCAAGTCACTTAATCCTGACTACCCCCCCAAAAAATTAAAGAAATAATAAAGAAATAAAAAATAAAGTGCAGGCCCGACCATGTTACACACCTACTCAATATTAACTCCAGTTGCTCCCTAACACCCAAGATCAAATATAAAATCCTGTTTTGCCTCCATCTTCAAGTTTTTTTATCCAAACTTCAAAGCTACGCATAAGAGATGTATTATTAACTAAACAAGGGATAGAAGCAATTACAAAAGACAAAACAGAAAGCTTTGACAAAAAGAAACTGAAAAGCTGCTGCACATACAAAATATAAAGCATCTGGAACAAGAAGAGAAGTATTCGATGGGGGAAAACATCTTTGTATCAATTTTCCTGATAAGGGTTTCCTATTAAAGATTATAAAGGTATGTGTATACATATACATACATACATACATACATACATACATACACATGTGTACACACACACACACACACACACACACACACACACACACTCTCTCTCTCTCTCTCTCTCTCTCTCTCTCTCTCTCTCTCTCTCTCTCTCTCTCTCTCTCTCTCCCTCCCTCCCAAAGTGAATGTCACAACATATTCAGAGGTAGAAAAAAGTGAATGTTGCAAAATTAGACAAAAGAAGCATGGCTCCAAAGAAAATCTATGAAAAGTCATTCCCCCCAACCCCACTCCTCAGTAGTGGTGGGAGGTCCACAAGTGCGGTACATTGCATGTGTTTTCAGATTTTTTTATATATTGATCAATTTTGCTCATTTGTTCCTTTCCTCTTTTTTATTTCTTTAAAAATATTGTTATAGAAGATGGTTCTCTGCGAGAGGGCAGGGGAAAAATACTGAGGAAAATTTTAGTGATATAAAAAAAAATCAATAAAACTTATTTTAAAAAATGAGTGGCTTACATCTATAGTCATATGAAAAAATGCTCTAAATCGTTACTGATTAGAGAAATGCAAATCAAAACAACTCTGAGGTACCACATCACACCTATCAGATTGGCCAACATGACAAAACAGGAAAAGGATAAATGTTGGAGAAGATGTGGGAAAATTGGAACACTAATACATTGTTGGTGGAGTTGTGAAATGATCCAACCATTCTGGAGAACAATTTGGAACCACGCCCAAAGGGCTACAAAAATGTGCATACCCTTTGATCCAGCAATAGCACTTCTAGGGCTGTATCCCAAAGAGATCAAACAAATGGGAAAAGGACCCACACGTACAAAAATATTCATAGCAGCTCTTTTTGTGGTGGCAAAGAATTGGAAATTGAGAGGATGCCCATCAAGTGGGGAATGGCTGAGCAAGTTGTGGTATATGAATGTAATGGAATACTATTGTGCTGTAAGAAATGATGAACAGGCTGACTTCAGAAAAACCTGGAAAGACTTAAATGGTCTGATGCTGAGTGAAGTGAGCAGAACCAAGAGGACTTTGTACACAATAATAGCCACGTTATGCAACGACTAAGATTGTTAAACTGAACCCTTCTCAGCATTACAAGGATGTAAGACCTCTCTAGAGGCCTCGGGATGGAAAATGCTGTCCACATCCAAAGAAAGAACTATGGAAGTTGAATCGCTATTACTTATTTTTACCTTCTGTTGAGTTTTGTTTCATCTTTCTGATGGTTCCTCCTATTGGTTTTAATTATCACTTACAACTTCACTACTGTGAAAATATGTTTCATGGATATGTAAATGTAAAGCCTATATCAGATTGTGTGCCATGTTGGGGAGGGTGGGGGGGAGGAAGGGGGAGAAAAATTTTCAACTCAAAAGCGTATGGAGGTGATTGTTGATAAATCAAAATAAATTAATAAAATTTTTTTAAAAATGAGTGGCTTACTAACAAAAAAGTCGTGACTCTCAGGATCTCTCTCTGAGTGATTCTGCGGGTGCCACAGAAGAATACAAGGCAGCAAACTGAAAGAGGTGGGAGAAAGAAAAAAAGCCAGCACAGGACAAGTTGACAGTCACCCGATGGCCCAGGACCTCTGTCCTCAGACCGGCGGCATACTCACCCTCTGTAATTCTTGATTCTTCTCTTCCAACTGGGCCTCCATCTGCCGCAGTCTCTCTTCGATGTTGCCGTGTCTCTCTTCAGCCTGCCGGGGCCAAACACGTTAGTCTGGCCTCATCATTACAAAGCACTGACAACATGCTGGGGGGGAACCACTGCCATAGCAAAAAGCAGGACGTGCTGGGTGAGTGACGGTTTTCCCTCCTACGGTGGGTACTGCGTCTACCTCATTCTATCACAAACCTGTGAGTTTTCATGTGATAACAGTGAGCACGCCATCCTCCACCCTTGGTGAATTGTACAACGTCTGGTGCCGGCAGTGAGGTTTGTGCTAGAAATCTTCAAATTCGCCTCCCCCCCCCACCCCCGAAAAGTGTCTCCAGCCCTTAAGCGGCCTCAGGTAGCACAGAAAGCAAAAAGCAGCAAGCAGAAACAGGGACCGGTGTGCAAAGGATTCTACCTTCCTAAGCTTGGAAGTAAGTTCGAACAGTCTAGCCTCCTTAGCAGCAGAGTTTCCAGAAGACAAAGGGTCAGACTACAAATTCAACAAGAGATGATAAAGATAACAGGGAGTGGAAGAGAAAGGAGACTTCAAAAAGCAGATCCACAGAGGGAGAGGAGAAATGTGGTTACAGCTCCAGATGTCAAACTGCCAGGAGGTTTGTTTCACACATGTCAATGTTTAAAATAAGGATTCCCACTGCTCATTGCCTTCTAAGAATAAGAAATGAAGAAACTGCTCTTTGACACTGCATGTTCTGGCTATCAGATATGATTTTTAAGAGAAAGCTTCTTCCTCATAACCTGAAAACCCTTTCCCGGGGAGGAAGGCCAACCCCCCCGGGCTTTGCAGGTGTTGTCTGGGCTTCTCTACAAGGCAGCAATCCTTAGTTCAAACAAGCTAGGGAGACACGAACTACATAAAACCACCAACTGGGGAAAAGCTTTTAGGAATCACACAAAGGAGGCAGAGATGTGACATTTCACCACTTAGCATTCCCCAACAAAGGATGAGGAAGAGCACAGAACCTGAAACCATTCAGGGACAATCAACTATGTTGAACCTGAGTGCCCTGCCCCAGGCCCCGGGGGGGGGGGGGGGGGGGGGGGGGGGGGGTCACTGGCCCTACCTTGGAGAGCGCCGCCACCCTCTGGGCCAGCTCAGCTTCCACCTCAGGCAGGGTCTCCGCTTTCCTCAAGGTTTGCTGCAGCTTCTGCTCGGCCAATTCCAGGCGTTCTTGTAACTGGCGGTTTTTGTCTTCACTCTGGAACAAAATCCAGCTGTTACAGCACAAGACAGGTATTTCCTAGGTGAAGTGTGAATGCTGGGTGGGCTGCAGCCTCCCACAAGAACACAGCCCCAGGGCGCTTCTTCCTCACTGAATTCTGGCCCAGAAAGGGCTCTTTCTGGTGGATCCCACTTCTCTTCAATGCCCTAAAGGTAAACTCTTTAAAAAAACCAAATGGTCCTAAAAATCAGGAAAAGGCAGTTTTGTGATGTGTTTCTGAGGCTAGTTCCTATGTGACCTGCAAAGACAAGCCCAAGAGCAGGTCTTGAGCTCTAAGCCTCCTGCAAAGTAAGTAGTACGAGCCAATCTGAAGCCCACACACAAAGCACAGCCTCACCCCTTCTCTTCCTCTCTCCTGCTCCCTGATGTTGGGTCACTGCTCTTGTAAAGTTACACCCCTCACTTCCTTCCCAGCTGGCTCTAGCTGCTACACTGAGCTCCACCAGCCCCCAACTCAGCCCTGAATCCTCTGCCTCTGCCTTTGCATATGCTGTCAATCATACTTGGAGAGAGATCCCTCCTCACCTTCAGCTCTTCAAGGTCTAAGACTCAAAAGATCACCTCAGGGCCACCTCTTCCAGGAAGTTTTGCCTGCCTGTTCACGCACTCCTTTATTCAATGAACTTACATGGACTTACCTGGGTTGGTGGGTGGGTAGGTGTGTTACACACTCCAAGGACAGGAAGGCTGGCTTTTCTCTCTGTCCCCTTGGGCCACACACATAGAGAAGAGCTCAAGAACTCTCACCACTAAACCAAGCTGAATGGTGAGCCTGCTCAAATGTGAGCAGGGAGAACTTTGGGGAGTCACACATTTTGGAGGGCCCCTGGGCAATGCATCTTCATGCTGAATGGCAGCTCCTTACACTGAGCCAAACAGCTGCTTTTCAGTTCTCATAGTCACCCTTTAACTAATGACGGATAACCTCTCCTGTGGAGCAAGGGCAACATGTTTTCAAATGCTTCACTCATCAGCCCTTTCACCCAAGGTACTAACAAGAATCAAAGCAAGCGAACTATGCTGGCTCTCCCTCGCTTCTCCGTGCCTCAGTGAGGAAGCTGCAAGAAGTGGCCCAAGTGCAGCTGCTGACCTCAGGGGCCTGGAGCCCGCCACTGGCTCCACAGGGCCTGCCTGAACAATCCAGTTTTGTGAAGACACAGAATTCTTGCACAAGTAAGCACAGGCTCCCCAAACAGGCAGAAACTTCAGACTTCTAAAGCCTGAGAACAAGAGCGCCTTCTGTCCAAACTCATGACAGTCAAAAAATGCTGGTCTTGAATCTCTATCAGTGAAAAAAATCCAGAGAAAAGGTCCAGCACCCTCCATAATAAGCATTACCTGTCGATGTAGAGAGTCCTTATTAGCGATTTCGTTTTCAAGTTTATCATTGAGGTCGTGCACCGAGGTAGCTTCCCGCTGGGCGGCGAGGTAGCGTTTTTCAAGAGTTGTGATTCTCTCTTCCATGTCCTCCTTTTGGGCCATGGCCTACATGAGAACAGGTATGTTGGGGGAGGGAGAGAGAAAAAAGCAGATGCTCAGACACACAGAGATTACAGAGAGGAGTCATATGCAAAAGCATGATGTGAAATCTGGTCATCACAAAATTACACAGAGAAACCTTTTCAAAATACATTCTTAATATGAAAAATTGTTCTGCTAAATATAACTATATATATCACTAGTGCTACTGAGGCAGATGAGTACTATAGGTGACATATACATGGTTTAATTCACTTCAGTGACTTTTCAATAAAAGAATTTTAAAACTAATTAAATATAGAATCATAAATAAAAGATTCTAAGAATAAGACCTCCTGAAAAGTGGAAAATCTCAAAGCAATGGGTGGTAGCCATAGAGAGGCAGATTTAAGCTTTCAGTGAGGAACTCTCTTCTAAACTGGAGCAACCCACTCGGAGAGGGGGCTGACTTGAGGTCAGAAAGCAAATGAGCAGGCGGCCATTTAGGGTTAGGGTTAGGGTCCCTCTGAACTGATTCCACAATTCTACTTCAGTCATTTACTCAGATCCAATGGGCACTCACAAATCTCTCCCTCTGCCAGGCCCTGTACCCAGTGCAAGGGATACAGAGACAAACATATGGTGGTGTCTGTCCTGCACAAAGGTAAAGACCTTATCTCAGAGAAAAGGGTTAAACACTTGGACCCAAGGCTACATTACTTCTCATTTTCATCAGGAAAATTAGGGTCTGGCCCAAGAAAATAGCTGCAGAGTGCCAGGGCACTTCAGATTTGAAGCTGTAATGTCACACTCATAGTGCTAGGAGGCACTAGGCTGCGACTAGGCCAACGTCATCCCACGGGCTCAGTTAACGAGAAGGGCTACAAAGCCTCCACAGCAGGCTGTTCAGATCTGGGTGAGACATAACGCATCTGACTGCTTCCCCCAGATAACCTAAGAAAGGAACGTGACTTGATCTGTTTGGCTTTCTTTCTTTTCACACTTATATAGCTTGGTGCTCTTAACTACCACACTTAACAAAATCCCAGGAAGCTTACAGAGGGTGAGCCTGGGAAAGAAGCACATCTGTCACGCCCATTTTACAGATAAGGAAATTGAGGGCGGTGAGAAGTGAAGTGATTTGCCTAGGGAGACCCATGCAGCAGTGTGTTTCTCCATCCTATGTCTTTCTGCTAATGCTGCCCTAAGTGCTTGGTATGGAGGCTTCTTTTAACTGACCTGCCTTGTCCACCACTTGAGGTGAGCGGAGAGACGGCAGGAGAACCAGCTTACGGTTGCTGTGACTGTGCTGTCAGGGCAGCACTGGTGAGCAGAGAAGTGCGTCTACGCTCCCCTCACAGCTGCTTCCCAAGCATGAGGATGGACACATTGCCCACACCCACTGTTAGGTTAACCACAAATATTCTACACCCAGTACTCCTTGACCTGACTCCATTCTCTAGCTGATCGTTAACAGGGCTCCTTTCTTACAAACCGAGGCCAGAATGCCAGACTCCTTGGAGACTGTCAATAATGTTAACTCCTTTAACTCAGTCAACAGGTAATGTTGACACTGCAGTATGGAACAGCTACCATAATGCAAGTCAAGGACTTACTCAAGAGTAAGTCATTAGCAAGAAGCTGGAATGTGCAAGGATGGACAAATTGACCAGCATGAAGTTCAGGAAGATTCACAGTTTTATCAACATTAAAAAAAGAGTGATCTTTAGTATTAACCATCCTTACCTTATTACAACACGCTGTCTGTCTGCTGTAGGACAGGAAGTAGCAACGGCCTTTGGGCCATTCTAAGCCATTCCCCATACCCACCCCTAAGCCTGATAGGTAATCGCAGGCATCTCCTGCTTGGATGCGAATCCTCTTTAAAACCTATCTGACAAGCAGTCACCCAGCCTTTGCTCCACGAGTTTCTGAGAAGTCAGTTCAATTCTTATAGAGAAGGTAATCCCGAAACAAATGTCAGGAATCAACTCTAGTGCGATGTATCTCTTTATCTGTTTTATATACAATTCACATAACCCAAATGATTTGAAGAGGTGTGTGGGGGGGGGGGAGTGATGCATGAGACAGAGAAGGTATTTCGAAAGGATAAAGTTCACTAAAAGATCTACAGCTATTACAGACTGACACAATGGTGTAATGTACAGTAAAAATCCCCAGCTCACCAGCAGCCCCTGATGCTTAAGGCCAAGAAGCAGAGGACAAGGCGAAGGTGCTAGCCCCCCTACTCCACCCCCGACAGGGAAGGCTCCTTCATAGCCATTACTCTGCCATGGCAAACAGAGGAGCCACTGGGAACTCTGAGACATTTCAGAGACTTCCAACAGTGAGGATCCCGGCCCAGTCGTCATCATCTCCCTCCTTGGTCCCCCTCTTCCCTCTTCTCCTCCTTACGCCCACCCCTCTTTCTCCTCCTCCTCCTCCTCCACAACAAAGGCTCACTACTCACCTCTCGGGCATCTCGCTGCAGTTTGGTGTTCATTTCTTCAGACTTGATGAGATCTTTCCGGGCAGTGTCCAGGTCTTCCTCCAGCTCAGTCACCCGGCTGGAGAGAGCCGCCAGCCGCTCCTTCATCTGGCTTTGTTCTTTTGACTGTTTATCTATAACTTCTTGGAGCTCTAACACTTTTGCTAGGTCTTCCTCATGACTCAAAGACCCATCAGAAGATCTCTGTCAAAACAAAAATTAGGTTTTGTGGCAGCCTGCCCAGAGAAAGAGCCAGTGGAATATTTAAATAGAGGGAAATGTCTTCATTTAGGCACGTGGGGGCTTATGTGACCCAGTCCCTATTTCTGCTCTAAGCAGGTATTTTAGGAAAACCTTTCCAAAGAAGCCTTCCTGGGCATTACAGACATATTCACTGCACAAACTCCAAGACCTGCCTTTCCATTTGTGTTCGGTGTGTTTTCCTGTTCATGATTCATGTCCAGCATCCCATCTGCTAGTGGTTTTTTCTGATTGTTCTGCTCCTTCAGAAGCATCAACTAAAAATCAAGCAAATCAATGCCAATTCTAATTCACCATCTCTATGTAACAATAGAAACATATTAATAAATTGTAATAATTATAAACACATAAACAGAATTCATCTCTATAACAATAGAAACATATTGATAAATTATATAATTATAAATATACTTCACCATCTCTACAGAATATAAAAATAACAAAGCCTCCTTTAGAACCATCAGAAACTGCTGCTACTCTTTGTGTATCACAAATGGGCCCAAGTAAGAACAGCATCAGGGGAGTCTGTAAACCATCAGTGGCCCCATTTGTGCAAAGAAAAGCACACATTTGTTATTGTTCATATGGGCTTCATCTTTTCCTGAGAAAACAAGAGCAGCAGGAGGGAGGGCTCCCTACAAACAGGTGGCGGGAGGTGGGATACATCGGGATGAGGGTGAGGGGATGATCTCACGATCTCGGAGTGCTGTTAAAAGCTCCCTCCGAGGGGGGCATTCACTCACCTCTTTGTGGGTGGCACCCAGCTCTTCCTCCAGTAAACTACACCTTTCCAGGGCTACTCGTAACCGTTCTCTCACCTTTAAAATAAAGTGATAAACAAGTAAAATAATTGTCTAGGTTTCTACCTACAAGATTGGGGCTAACCTGGGCTAACTCTAACCTTGAAGAAATTTCCAGGGATCTATGAATTTAAGACTGGGGAAAAAATTACATCTGTATTCCAACCTAACTGGTTCCCTTTGTAATCCTTTGTATTTTATTTTATGTGTTCAGGAAAAAAAAAAAGATTCAGAGAAGGGGTATGTTGGCTTTGTGAGACTGCCCAAGGAGTCTATAACACAAAAAACAAGAAAAACACCTTCAGGACTAGGTGACTGTGCTAATACTGACAGGCTGAAATAGTCAGGAAAGAAAGTTAAATGCTTTTCCGTTTATTTCATCCCCAGCAAAGCTTCGCTTTATATGAAGGGCTCTAAATTCCAAAAAACCACTTATGCCTACCCATTCCTGCACAGAAAATCATTTCTGGTACACAGGTTCTGACTATTATAAGTCTAGAGATTATTTTAACACACAGAATCCTGTCTAGGGCCAAGAAATGCCTATTTTCTAAGCTGGAAAATCCAAGAGGCCAGGAGAGTCCCCTGGGATGAATTCACACAAGATACTGAGAAAGACGGTGCCTCCAGCCTGAACGGGTGTCGGGCAGCTGCTGGGTGACTGTGGTGGCGGTGGGGGCGGGGGGAAGGAGAAGAGCGCTCCCTAGGAACCTTTTCATCCAGGGCTTTATGGTGCTCAAACAGCGACTTCAGCGCCTTGAGTACTTCCACCTCACTGGACACTCCTGCGGGAGACTGCGCTTGTCTCTTCACAACTGTCATCCTTAGAGATCGCTCGTGTCTGGAGACGAGGCATTCCAAATGCTCCAGTAACAGCTGCGAGAGACCAAAACCAAGTCAGAAACAAGCCTGTCTGTACATTCTTCTTTAAGGCACAATCTTAACACACTAGCAGGCATACAGTAGGTGCTTGATAAATGTTTACTGGCAATTGGAAGACAGACGTGTCATTTGGAGGTTGGAAGGAATGGTTTAAGTCACAGCAATCTGCCCTATTAAAACAAATTTACACTATTTTAATCTAGTCTCTCAAGGCAAAAATACCAAAATGTAACACATAATCCAAACATAATCAATACGCTTGGCCCTGGGGATACAAAGAAAGGCAAAAACATAGCCCTGTCCCCAAGGAACTTACACTCTACTGAGAGTATAAATGGGGGTGGGGTGGGCCCTCCTATAGACTTGAACTGAACTGCCCGTTCACTTAGTCAATTACACAGTTACCGCATGAAAAACCCCAAAACTTTAAGAGCAAAGGGCGTGTCATCTTGCTCAGTGCCCATTACTAAGGAGGGAGGTGTTTCTTGTCACCCCTAAGCTCTCCTACAGAGGCCAGCCACCAGTCCACCCATCCCTCCATCCAGGACCCCGGGCAGCTGGGACTTACTAACCCGAGTATTGTTTCTCTCTGCTTTCAGCTCAGCAATTTCTTCTTCTCTTTCAAGAAGCTGTTCCCTGCAGACATTGAGTTCCTTTGTCAGGGCAGCAAACTCCTGGAAAAGGACAAACAGGAGGATGCTATGTAAGAAAAACAAATAAACCAGAACTTATTCAATTTCCCATCTTGTCCTTTCTGCACAAGAACCCTGGCGTCTGAGGCATTTGCTTCAGCCAATCCCAGGCTGTCACAGGGGAACCCAAGCCCACGCCCACGCCCACCTGTTCTCAGCCTAGATTTACTTCAGCATGCTTTTCAGGAATGCAAAGTAGAGGGAACTGCCTTACTTACAAAAACTCACAGGGTCTGTTTCAATTTTCAAACTGAAATAGATGAGACAGTTGTAAAGCAATATCCATGAATTTGATCTGGATTCACTTGGGACCCCTGACAGCAGGAAAAACGAAGTGAGAGACATCCAGAAGCATGCCAAAGAACTCCTCTGGGCAGATGTAGCTCTCCAGCTTCTCGTGCATAGTACCAAGAGGTCAAGAGAGCCTGCCCGGGCTGCCTCGTCCAAAGAAAAGCTGGAAGGCCTCACGGGTCCATGTCATACAAAAGCCAGGGCTCAGCACATGGTGAAGGTGGACAGATGCTGCTCTTAACACACCACTCAGTCTGTCAGCAAAAGCCCAGGAATCCAAGCACCACCAACCACAACCACAGGAGCCGAGCCCTGAGGGCCCTTTATGTGGACAACACAAGAAACACTCAAAGGCCAGCCAGTAGCAGCCACAAAGCAAAAAGAATTCTACTGGAATTTTCCATATAGCATTTAAACATTTTAATAGAATTAAAACATACTGATGTTAACATCTCTAAGGTTGCTAGGTTTCTTTTTAAAGCAAAAAAAAAAAGTTTTAATTAAAAGGGGCGTTTTCTTAAAAAAAAATCTGGCACTTAAAATGTGAAAAGACGCTTAATGGGGGGGGGGACCCCATCACAATATGTCCTATGAAACATGAAAATGAAAGAAATAGGCACTGAATAATACTAGTAATAACAGCGATAATTTTTATTTAGCACTTTCAAGTTCTGTAAAGCACTTTATATACATCCTGACACCCTGGTAGGGAGATTGCTGTAATTCTCTCCATTTTACAGAACAGAAAGCAGAGTGGGAGGGAGGTCACACACCTCCTAAGAATGGGACTGGGACTCCAAATGCCACTGACAGTGAAGGGCAAGACCGCCAGGAACGGGACATGACAAGGGGCAGTAATGTGTCAAAAGCCTAGAGAGGTGGGCCCAGCCAGATACTCGCTAGAGGCAGGTGCGGCCACAGGGGCCAAGAGCCACTTAATCTCAGTTCTTCCTCCAGGCAATTCTATAAAAAGAGGAGGTCCCCGCTGCTGGAAGAACCTACAAGCGTTTAACTAGAGCCAGCCACTTATGGGAAAGCTGAGGAAGCTGCAGCCAAGAGTAAGGACGTGCCTGGTGCAGGATCAGGGGCAGAGCTCGCCTTCCCTGCCCAGCCTTCTTGCCGTTCCTGTGCAGAGGGCTCGGGACACTGACGGAATCCACTCCTCTGAGTGACAGAGGCTCTCCCCAGAGAAAGTAACTCATTCTACACTTGAACTGTTTCTACTACATTACACCATCAATTAATTTCTGTTATTGCTGTACAGACTTTCTGTCACGTCTCATCTTCAGGGCCCCATGGACCAGACTGCCATGTTCTTGGCAGAGATATTGGAGTGCTTTGCCATTTCCATCTCGAGTGGAGTAAGGCAGAGACTCAGTGACTTGTCCAGGGTCCCCTGACTAGTAAAGTGTCTGAGGCTTCATCTGAACTCAGGTCTTCCTGACTCCAGCGCCAGTGCCCTATACAGTGAGTCACCTAGATGTCTCCAATCAATTAACTGAGCATTTATAAACTACCTATGTCTGCCAGATATTGGATACTCAATGTTTTTTTTTCCCAACAAAACACACACACACACACACACACACACACACACACACACACACACACACACACACGTTTTCACATGTGGCTTAATCATCCAACTCTTGCTTTAAAATTAGTCTTCTGCATATTTTTAAAGTTTTGAAAGGGCAACATTTTAATTTCTTGTTTCAAAGCACTTTTTTTTAAATTAGTGGCTGAGAAACCATTTCAAAACTGCACTCTTTAATTAATTTGTGACATATAGCCCCTGACCCTGCAGATCTGCACTGGGGGAGGCCTTTTCACATCATTAGCTCTCTAAACTAATGAAGCCACAGACAGAGGAACTTTAAAGAATGTATATGAAAATGGGCTCAAGATGCCAAGGTAAGAGAGCGTAGTGAGCCGAGTTCCTCTTCACAAAAGTCCTCTAAACAAATTTAGAAAATGCACTAGACCAAATCCTGATGGGGAAATCCAGGAAGAAGTCAGCAAGTCTTTTGGGAACCACACAGAAAAATGTGCAGACGCTGGAACAGACCCACCCGGCACCCAAGCAGAGAAACTGCATTTGGCCCATTCCAGGACACGGCCGCAGGGACAGGGGCAAACTGGAAGCTTTCTCAAAGTCATAGCTGCACGGTGGCCTGAGGAGCAGCCCAGTGCAGGGGCCCGGGTCTGGAGAAAGGAGCAAGCTCAGAAGGCAGCAGGAGCAGCAGTATGACTCAGACCCCAGCAACAGAGCAGGCTCTCATTTCCAGCATGTAGCCCAGCCTGCAAGAACATAACCAGCACGGGAATCCCAAGCCAAAGGGAAGCCCACAGCTCTGCCTGAGCTCAGCAGCAACAGTCTACTGCTCCGACCCAAAGCCAGGCCAGAAACTCGCTCAGAGCAGGAAGGCAGCAGTCAGACTTTGGCCTCCATGGGAGGCTGCAGGTCCTGCAATGACACAACACTCGACATTCCGAGAAGGCAGCAACAGGAGCAGCTCAGGCCCTTGCTGGAGAAGTGCTGCAGAGCCTCCCCTTAACAAAGGGGAGTCCAAAGTAGGCTGGAAAAAATGGGCAAACAAAAAAAGAACTGCACTCTTTAAGAGCTACTGCAATTGTGAGGAAGCTCAACATACAATCCAGAAGAGAGAGACTCCAAAACCTGGATAAAAATACAGCCTGGGCAAAAATTCAACTAGAACTCCTGGAAGAGATGGAGATCTAGAAAGAGAGTTTAAAACTGTGTTTATAAATGATATGAGAGCACGGGAAGGGGAAAAAAAGGAAAGGAAAGGAGAGCTATGGAAAAAAAGAACTGAAGGAGGAATTAACAGCTCAGTAAGAGGTACAAAACCATGCCCAAGCAACAAAATATTAAAATAAAGTCAAAATACTGGAAAAAAAAGAAAGAAAAACTAAGAAATCCATAGTGAAAATAAATGGCCTAGAAAACAGGTTGTGGAGGGAAAAAATTTAAGAATCATCAGACTAGCTGAATGTCATGACCCAGATATCATTATTTCAAGAAATTCTTAAAAGAAAACAATTCAGATCTCTTAGAACTAGAGGGTAAATTAGAAATAGAAATAATCGTGAGCAGAACCAAGAGGGCTCTGTACACAATAACAGCTACATTATGCAATGACTAAGACTGTTAAACTGAACCCTTCTCAGCATTACAGGGATCTAAGACATCTCCAGAGGCCACGGGATGGAAAATGCTGTCCACATCCAAAGAAAGAACTATGGAAGTCGACTCGCTTTCACTTAATTTTACCTTCAGTTGAATTTTGTTTCATCTTTCTGATGGCTCCTCCTATTGGTTTTAATTTTTACTTACAACTTCACTAATGTGAAAATACGTTTCATGGGTATGTAAATGTAAAGCCTATATCAGATTGTGCGCAGTCTTGGGGGAGGGTGGGGGGGGGAAGAAGGGGGAGAAAAATTTTCAACTCAAAAGCGTATGGAAGTGATTGTTGATAAATCAAAACAAATTAATAAAATTAAAAAAGAAATAGAAATAGAAATAATCCACCAGTTACCTCCCGAAGAAACCCCAAAGTGAAAAGTCCCAGGAACATCACTGTCAAAACTAAGAGATTCCAGGTCAGAGGGGAAAAAAAATATTACTACAAGCCAGAAATGAAGAATTCATGTACTTTGAAGGCACAAGTCAGGATCACACAAGATTGATGAGCCATACTATAAAGGAGAGGAGAGCTTTGAATACAAGCTTCCAGAAGGTTTATTGCCAAGAATGAACTACCCAGCAAAACTGAATATAATGCTATGGGGGGGGAGCCATTAATGAAAGAGTAGTTCCAATCATTTCTGTTAAAAAGACCAGCACTGCACAGAAAGGTAAACATTAATGAACAATGACAAAGAGTAAATATATGCTGCTTATATTCAAATATGGAGGGAGATGATACATGCATCCCCTCTGAGCCCAAAGATCATCAGGGGTTACAGAGGAAGTACAATATGACAAGGCCTAGGACTGGTTCTATTGTATTTTGATGATCTCAAAAATGGAATGAAAGGGGAAGAGAAATACACATAGGGAAGTGTGGGTGGGAAGCTTAAGAAATCCATTCAAGGAGGAGGGAGATGGGGAGAGTGGCTTGACACTTAAAACTCACTCTCAGCTGAAGTGGCCAAAAGAAGGAAGAATACACATACACACACATGCACACAACTGGGTGGAGAATACTCAGTAGGGAAACTGGAGGACCAAGGGAGAAGAGAGGAGGGGGAATTTTGAGGGAGAGTAGATTAAGGAAGGGATGAGTACTAAGCAAAACAAAATCTTAGGATGCATAAAAATGTATCTCTTTGAGGTGGCAAAGAATGGAAATCTGAGGAGGTGCCTGCCTAAAGAGGGAAAAGGGAGGGGCAGCTAGGTGGTACAGTGGATAGCACACCAGCCCTGAAGTCAGGAGGACCTGAGTTCAAATCCGGCTTCAGACAAAACGCTCGACACTTACTAGCTGTGTGACCCTGGGCAAGTCACTTAACCCCAATTGCCTTTAAAAAAAAAAAAGAGGGAAAAGGAGACATCCAGAAATGTCCCCCACCCCCTGCGGCACAACACAGCAGCACCAGGACTACATGGTTCTAGTAGCTCCTAACAATATCTCATTTCCCATTCTTCCTGACAAGGATTCAGA